GAAACAAGCTGTATCCACAGTAACTTATTAAAATAATAAAATTTAATACGTGCTTACCAGCATCACAACTATGACAGATATTGTAAAGTAGGTGCATAATCAGATCCAGATCCACTTTTTCATCATCAAAACTGTGATGATAAGCTTTCAATAGTTCTCTGTCTTCTGCACTAAGATCACCACCATTTGCCTGCACTAGAGAACTTTCATCCAGGTTTCCAAACTCTAATGAAGCACTGAAACATACAAACACAGAGTCACATAAAAAGAGCTTATCCTCATGAAACAAGAGTGGAAGTGTGCATCAGACTACTAGGCTTCCCTGTAGCCATGAATTCAAAATAAGATCAGAACTACCAAGATATCCAGTTCTTATTTCATAGTGAAATATTTAAGATGGTGTAGGTAATAACAGAATATTAACAGCGAATTACTATTCACTGACTTTAGTGATTTATGTACCAGTGCCACTCAGTACTTAACATGCTCAATGAGCTGAAACACTTGTTTAATCAGAGCATTAAAAAACAGTGAAAGTATAACCAGGCACCCAATTTATCTTTTAAAAGGAAAACAGTAGCTAGAAAAATGCATTTTTTCCCCATCAACATGTAGCTATACCCAGCTAAACAAACACATAGCTGCAGTTTTTTGAGTAGGTGGTAAATCAGTTTAACAGTTACTGTTTTAGCTGTAGTAAAATGATCTAAAACCAATAAGGCTTTTATCATGATAAACAAAAAGCTTCTATGATCCAAACTATTATTCTTGAATGTTCCAGTGTCTGTATTATATATGCGTATATTACTTGTCAATACATAATATCATGCTAAGCCAAAAACAACGAGGAGTCCGGTGACACCTTAAAGACTAACAGATTTATTTGGGCATAAGCTTTCGTGGGTAAAAAAAAAAAACAACTTTTTCAGATGCATGGAGTGAAAATACAGATACAGGCATAAATATATATTGGCACATGAAGAGAAGGGAGTTACCTTACAAGTGGAGAACCAATACTGAAGGCCAATTTAGTCAGGGTGGATGTAGTCCACTCCCAATAATTGATGAGGAGGTGTCAATACCAAGAGATGGAAAATTGCTTTTATAGTGAGCCAGCCACTCCCAGTCCCTATTCAAGCCCAAATTGATGGTGTTAAGTTTGCAAATGAATTGTAGCTCAGCAGTTTCTCATTGAAGTCTGTTTCTGAAGTTTTTTTGTTGAAGAATGGCTACTTTAAAATCTATTATTGAGTGTCCAGGAAGACTGAAGTGTTCTCCTACTGGCTTTTGTATGTTACCATTACTGATGTCTGATTTGTCGATTTATCCTTTTACATAGAGACTGTCCGGTTTGGCCAATGTACACGGCAGAGGGGCACTGCTGGCACATGATGGCATATATCACATTAGTAGATGTGCAAGTGAATGAGCCTCTGATGGTGTGGCTCGTGTGGTTAGGTCCTATGATGGTGTCACTAGAGTAGATAAGGGGACAGAGAAGGCAACGGGGTTTGTTACAGGGATTGGTTCCTGCGTTAGTGTTTCTGTAGCATGGTGTGCAGCTGCTGGTAAGTATTTGCTTCAGGTTGGGGGGCTGTCTGTGAGGACTGGCCTGCCTCCCAAGGCTTGTGAGAGTGGGGGATCATTTTCCACGATAGGTTGTATTATTAAAAGCTGTGTTGACAGAGTCTTAAAAATGTCCTCCTATTCTCAAGTAAGATATATTTAATTTTTGTTGATACCAACGCTAAAGCACATTCAAACAAAAAATATTTATAGAAAACATTTAAGCATGAAAAACCAACATATGTAGTCAAATTATTCTTGTAATAGACTATCTTGTGTGATTTAGGAATACTTTACATTTGCTCAGCTTGGCCAGGCCAGCAATGATATTGCCAAAGTACAAGTGAAATGCACTGAACAGATATCTGTAAATATCTTTTCTCCCTTCATTTTGCTCAAGTTGATTTGTTTTATAATTCATCTAAGACTCAATATTTCTCCTCCTTACAAGTATCTTCTGATTATCCTTGATAATCGCTCAAGAATTGTTTTAATGACACTGAATATTAATTTAATTCAAAGGCATGGTAATAGCAATGTCTATTTGGAGTTTTTAAAATACCATCGTTACTAGTTGATAAGTTGTTTGGTAACTGCTCTGCTCATAGTGACAATTTGCATGAAAATCATTAATACCAATAGATGTTAGTCAGTTGTGTGGTGATTTTCTGTTTAAGACCTGAAGCTTTTGTACAGGTGAAGTTTTTCCACTCATATGTCATTAATGCATTTGGCAGACAGAAAGACACCTGTGTCAAAATATTAACATAAAATAAAGATACAGCTAAGTATTAGTTCTGTTTGCTATTTAACTGATCATTTACTATTTAAATGCTGGATGTTTTGGTGCAGGTTTGGTTTATTTTTGGTATTTTAACACCAAAATCCTCTTTAATATTGTAATAGGTTTATAGCTTAGTAATTCCCCACAAATGGGGCCTAAACTCGTTTTGTTTTCTATTTCATTGCTATCCCTTTCCTGACTCTCTCCCCATCCTTTAACATACTAAAAAGCAATTTAGAAAGCACTTTTTTCCAACACCAGGAATGATATATTGAGACCACTTGATGGTTCTCCCTGACCCCGCCTGCCCGGCCTGCCCCCACACTCTTCTACAAAATCTTGAAACTCCTTCAACAAAACATCTGCAACACAACTACCTTTCACATTTTTCTGGCCACAAAAAATACTGTGGATCTTCCCTCAATGTATCTTTGGAGAATGAACAGTAAAACTTATTACAATGGCATTCAAACGCATTAGAAATTACTATGATTCTTGAGCCTAAACATTTTGCTCCTCCTGCAGAAAGGCAAGGAGGAAGGGTTTTCTATAGAAGAACTCACTTAATTTAATTTGCCCTGCCAGGCAGGAAAATCCCAGCAGTTGGAATTTTAGGACTCTAAGACCATATATTGTAGTTCTAAAAATTAAAAAAAAAAAAAAAAAACCAAAAAAAACCTCCACACTTAGACAAGACAAAATAGTGTTGTTACCTTAAAATCAACTTAAAATGTATTTGGAAGCCTATTATGTAACTTACCTTTTACTTTGTATGTGAATTTTGTTGCTCACAAAAATAAGCACACTGGCTGGAGCAAAACATAATACAGGCAGTTTCAATACAAACCTTCCCACATAGCACTACCAATATATTTCAGTATCCTCATTAGTCTAGTCTAAGGCAAGGAGACTGGCAATTTTAAAAAAAAAGAGAGTGGACAGTGAAATTACACAGATCAGAAAACATGGTTTGAGGGCTTATATAAAGAATCCCATTCCAGAAGCAATTCTCTTACAAGAAAGTACCTTATATGCCATCAAGTTATTTTTAAGAAGTACTTGACTCCCATTAATCATTTTCTCCATTTTTCTTTTATAAAATTGTTACTAGTCATAAAGGATGCATCAAAAAAATACTTGCTGGACATATCTTGAATCAGATTATTATGGAATAGGCAGTGGGAATGGTGTATAAAACCCAGCTGGATCTGAAGAGGTGCTGTGTGAAGACTTATGAGGGCCCAATGGAAAAAAAAATTACCTGCTTATTTCCTTTCTATAATTAACATCAAACTCAGTCCTCAATGATGGGTAGATTACCTCTTTATAGAGACCAAAGACACATCCAAGAGCTTTGATAAGGGACTGTAAGTCACAATTATTCACTCACCAGAAGTTTTTCAAAGATATGTCAATAACAACATGTTAACGGTTTACATGAATTTAAACAAAGTAGTAATCCTTAACGATTTTTCTACCCGAAATCCTAGGAGACTGTCTGACTATGTAGTAAAGATTTTTAGAACTGACAGATCAAAATGAAAGGGTGTAAATATAGGATGATTTTCACAGACAAATTGGAGAGAGGGATGTTGGCACTGCTAAAACAGAATGGGAAGGTACGTCTCCAAGATCTACAGATGTTAGGAAATCTCCTGGAGACATCATAACAAAGGTTGATCCCAGTGGGATTTTACTTTTTTCAGGGATTCAAGGTCTACAATTGCTCTTACACCCGTCTGTTCTGAACTATAAAGGTATAGAGTGCAGCCCACATATTCTTTCAAGTGCAGGAATTGGTTTTATAGCCCCTAAAGTGAGAACACTTTTCTTGGATCATCCGGGGCTTTTATTGACTAACTGATTATAGTGGCTGGATGAAGAATTAAAGGGTGAAATACTTTATCATTTCAATTCCAATATTTTCTGCTGAAGTATTTGGAATCTTTCCATTAATAGCTGTATTGGGATGAAAAGGCTGGTTACTCATCTGTTTTAAAGAGAGACTAAACAGATGAGTACAAATATTCACATGAGATAGGCAAGGAATACCTGGATATTTCAGCATTTTCTGCCACTTTCCAATGAGTAGTTAGCTTTAATTAATTTGAAGAAGCAAATGATTGGTTTTGATTTATTGAACCACAGACAGCCACTTACCCAGAACGGGCAACTAGTTACAGTGTGAGATGCACAAGTGTAACAGTGATGGACACAGTATAAAATGTTAAGAGAGATCAGTTTAGAAAGACTTTGAAGCAAAACGCAGACTTCTAGGGCTTCTACAATAGAAGTACAGAGATTTTCTTAAGAATGAAACTTTTCATGACTTAGCCCTGGTCTACACTAGGACTTTAGGTCGAATTTAGCAGCGTTAAATCGATTTAAACCTGCACCCGTCCACACAATGAAGCCCTTTATTTCGACTTAAAGGGCTCTTAAAATCGATTTCCTTACTCCACCCCTGACAAGTGGATTAGCGCTTAAATCGACGTTGCCAGCTCGAATTTGGGGTACTGTGGACACAATTCGATGGTATTGGCCTCCGGGAGCTATCCCAGAGTGCTCCATTATGACCGCTCTGGACAGCACTCTCAACTCAGATACACTGGCCAGGTAGACAGGAAAAGAACCGCGAACTTTTGAATCTCATTTCCTGTTTGGCCAGCGTGGCAAGCTGCAGGTGACCATGCAGAGCTCATCAGCACAGGTGACCATGATGGAGTCCCAGAATCGCAAAAGAGCTCCAGCATGGACCGAACGGGAGGTACGGGATCTGATCGCTGTTTGGGGAAAGGAATCCGTGCTATCAGAACTCCGTTCCAGTTTTCAAAATGCCAAAACCTTTCTGAAAATCTCCCAGGGCATGAAGGACAGAGGCCATAACAGGGACCCGAAGCAGTGCCGCGTGAAACTGAAGGAGCTGAGGCAAGCCTACCAGAAAACCAGAGAGGCGAACAGCCGCTCTGGGTCAGAGCCCCAAACATGCCGCTTCTATGATGAGCTGCATGCCATTTTAGGGGGTTCAGCCACCACTACCCCAGCCGTGTTGTTTGACTCCTTCAATGGAGATGGAGGCAATACGGAAGTAGGTTTTGGGGACGAAGAAGATGATGATGAGGAGGTTGTAGATAGCTCACAGCAAGCAAGCGGAGAAACCGGTTTTCCCGACAGCCAGGAACTGTTTCTCACCCTAGACCTGGAGCCAGTACCCCCCGAACCCACCCAAGGCTGCCTCCTGGACTCAGCAGGTGGAGAAGGGACCTCTGGTGAGTGTACCTTTTAAAATGCTATACATGGTTTAAAAGCAAGCATGTGAAAGGATTACTTTGCCCTGGCATTTGCGGTTCTGCCTTTGCAAAAGGTTTCTGGGGAGGGCAGCCTTATTGCATCCTTCATGGTAGGACACTTTACCACTCCAGGCCAGTAACACGTACTCGGGAATCACTGTAGAACAAAGCATTGCAGTGTATGTTTGCTGGCATTCAACCAAAATCCGTTCACGCGGTGGGAGGAGGCAAAATGCGACCTTGTAACGAAAGCACATGTGCTATGTATGTAATGTTAACAGCAAGGTTTACCCTGAAAGAGTGTAGCGACTGTTTTATAAAATGTGTCTTTTTAAATACCGCTGTCCCTTTTTTTTTCTCCACCAGCTGCATGTGTTTCAATGATCACAGGATCTTCTCCTTCCCAGAGGCTAGTGAAGCTTAGAAAGAAAAAAAAACGCACTCGCGATGAAATGTTCTCCGAGCTCATGCTGTCCTCCCACACTGACAGAGCACAGACGAATGCGTGGAGGCAAATAATGTCAGAGTGCAGGAAAGCACAAAATGACCGGGAGGAGAGGTGGAGGGCTGAAGAGAGTAAGTGGCGGGCTGAAGACAGGGCTGAAGCTCAAAGGTGGCGGCAGCGTGATGAGAGGAGGCAGGATTCAATGCTGAGGCTGCTGCAGGACCAAACCAGTATGCTCCAGTGTATGGTTGAGCTGCAGCAAAGGCAGCTGGAGCACAGACTGCCACTGCAGCCCCTCTGTAACCAACCGCCCTCCTCCCCAAGTTCCATAGCCTCCACACCCAGACGCCCAAGAACGCGGTGGGGGGCCTCCGGCCAACCAGCCACTCCACCACAGAGGATTGCCCAAAAAAAAAGAAGGCTGTCATTCAATAAATTTTAAAGTTGTAAACTTTTAAAGTGCTGTGCTTAAAGTGCTGTGTGGCATTTTCCTTCCCTCCTCCACCACCCCTCCTGGGATACCTTGGTAGTCATCCCCCTATTTGTGTGATGAATGAATAACGAATGCATGACTGTGAAGCAGCAATGACTTTATTGGCTCTGCAAGCAATGATTAAAGGGAGGAGGGGAGGGTGGTTAGCTTACAGGGAAGTAGAGTGAACCAAGGGGTGGGGGGGTTCATCAAGGAGAAACAAACAGAACTTTCACACCGTAGCCTGGCCAGTCATGAAACTGGTTTTCAAAGCTTCTCTGATGCGTACCGCGCCCTCCTGTGCTCTTCTAACCGCCCTGGTGTCTGGCTGCGCGTAACCAGCAGCTAGGCGATTTGCCTCAACCTCCCACCCCGCCATAAACGTCTCCCCCTTACTCTCACAGATATTGTGGAGCACACAGCAAGCAGTAATAAGAGTGGGAATATTGGTTTCGCTGAGGTCTAAGCGAGTCAGTAAACTGCGCCAGCGCGCCTTTAAACGTCCAAATGCACATTCTACCACCATTCTGCACTTGCTCAGCCTGTAGTTGAACAGCTCCTGACCACTGTCCAGGCTGCCTGTGTATGGCTTCATGAGCCATGGCATTAAGGGGTAGGCTGGGTCCCCAAGGATACATATAGGCATTTCAACATCCCCAACAGTTATTTTCTGGTCTGGGAATAAAGTCCCTTCCTGCAGCTTTTGAAACAGACCAGAGTTCCTGAAGATGTGAGCATCATGCACCTTTCCCAGCCATCCCACGTTGATGTTGGTGAAACGTCCCTTGTGATCCACCAGAGCTTGCAGCACTATCGAAAAGTACCCCTTGCGGTTTATGTACTCGGCGGCTTGGTGCTCCGGTGCCAATATAGGGATATGGGTTCCGTCTATAGCCCCACCACAGTTAGGGAATCCCATTGCAGCAAAGCCATCCACTATGACCTGCACATTTCCCAGGGTCACTACCCTTGATATCAGCAGATCTTTGATTGCGTGGGCTACTTGCATCACAGCAGCCCCCACAGTAGATTTGCCCACTCCAAATTGATTCCCAACTGACCGGTAGCTGTCTGGCGTTGCAAGCTTCCACAGGGCTATCGCCACTCGCTTCTCAACTGTGAGGGCTGCTCTCATCTTGGTATTCATGCGCTTCAGGGCAGGGGAAAGCAAGTCACAAAGTTCCATGAAAGTGCCCCTACGCATGCGAAAGTTTCGCAGCCACTGGGAATCGTCCCAGACCTGCAACACTATGCGGTCCCACCAGTCTGTGCTTGTTTCCCGAGCCCAGAATCGGCGTTCCACAGCATGAACCTGCCCCATTAGCACCATGATGCATGCATTGGCAGGGCCCATGCTTTCAGAGAAATCTGTGTCCATGTCCTGATCACTCACGGGACCGCGCTGACGTCGCCTCCTCGCCCGGTATCGCGTTGCCATGTTCTGGTGCTGCATATACTGCTGAATAATGCGTGTGGTGGTTAATGTGCTCCTAATTGCCAAAGTGAGCTGAGCGGGCTCCATGCTTGCCGTGGTATGGCGTCTGCACAGGTAACTCAGGAAAAAAGGCGCGAAATGATTGTCTGCCCTTGCTTTCACGGGGGGGGGGAGGGAGGGAACGGGGGGCTGACGATATGTACCCAGAACCACCCGCGACAATGTTTTAGCCCCATCAGGCATTGGGATCTCAACCCAGAATTCCAATGGGCAGCGGAGACTGCGGGAACTGTGGGATAGCTACCCACAGTGCAACGCTCCGGAAGTCGACGCTTGCCTCGGTACTGTGGAAGCGCTCCGCCGAGTTAATGCACTTAATGCACTTTAGAGCATTTTCTGTGGGGACACACACACTCGAATATATAAAACCGATTTCTAAAAAACCGACTTGTATAAATTCGACTTAATTTCGTAGTGTAGACATACCCTTAGTGGGTCTGAGGTCATCACTCCAGGCTATGTCCCCTTTGGCAAAGCAAGATATGGGGGAAAACTGAAAGATGATTTGATATCTTCTCAGAGGTCCTCCTATCTTAAAGTTATCCTCTTCTGAAGAGATAACCTCAGACAATGATGCCAATTCTTTCATACGTTTTTTAATTTTAGGGATGCTAAGCTTTTTAAGCCTGAATCCTATGGAATTTCCTAATTTTGTGATTGAACCATTTCCCTTCATCTGTTTTTTCCCCTCCAAGCCCTTATTAACTTACTCAAACAAGTAGTGGCATAACATTTTATTCAAACACAAAAGGTGGGTATTTATGCACCTCTTGTCTTTCTTTTACAGGTTAAATGTTAAGAGTGCAATTCTTTCTCTTGCACAGCGTCAAAATAATTCTTGGAGAAAGAATATTTCCTGACTGTGGCCGTAATGATCTGATTGGGACGGTGAGCGGTCTCATGAGTGAGCTGGTAGAAGAGCAAGTAGAAAGCGTAAAGTTTTTACTTCACTTAAGAATTTTATGGAGCCCTAAAGGTTTCTCAGAATTGAAGGAACACTAGCTCTTTAAAAGGGAGCTGCTGGATACCCAGTGCTTTTGAAAGTCAGACCAATTTCCAAGATGCCTAAACATCACCATAGGAGCTCAACTTTAGACACCTATTTTTGCAAATCTTGGTCTTTTTGGACTTTGAAAATAGTGACTGCTGAAGAGATTTTTCTGTAAGGTGGCCCTCTGGTGCCATGCAGGATGTAAAGATACATATTCCTGAGCTGTTTCAGCTGTTCCATCATTGAAGGGCACAGGGAGCGTTTAATGAGTGGTCCCTAAGGTTTTCAAAGCTTTAACAAAGTTTATCAAGACAAAAGTTATACCAAAGAGGCAAAAGTAAATTTAAAAAACTTCCCCACCTAGAAGTAGAAGGGAAGGGAAAGCAAAAGAGATTTGAACAGAAGTAGGAGAACTGTAACATGCTGTCCAAGCAGAAAAGCGAAGAGTGAGTAAGGCTTACAGTTCCAGGCCTCCCAATCCAAGTGTTTGAACTGCTCTTGGTTTCTTGGTGAGGACTGCTATAGTGGCCATGAAACAGAACTCATTTGATATACATTTTTAAACCACCTAGTCTTGTTACAGGAGGTTTACTTTTTAAAAAGCAAGAATATCTTCTGGATTTATTATACCTAGTTCTGCAAATTGGCTTTTTTGTGCCAGATTTTAGAAGTTAGAGAACTAAACATTGTTGTACCCATTAAAGTTATGCATGAATGTAATAGGCATTTACATGTTAAATAAATGTTTCAGCAAAGCAGGAATACCTTACCTGTAAGATTCCAGAAGATCTACAATCTCAGTCTGTCCAAAATGTTTAGCCCAATCCAAAGCCATCCTGCAATAGTTACAAAGTGTTCTTTACGGTCTCATTTAGAACTACAAATACCTTATATCAATCAACTACAGATTCTAGGAACCCCTTTTTTAAACACTTGTGCACTTGTCATGCTCTCATCACTGTAGTATCCACTGGATATATGTTTTCACACTTGAAAGCACATGATATCTAAATAATACAGTATACAGAAATCCCCGCAAAGTAAGTTTGCCAGCTCTGTACAAGAGCAAATACAAGCAAGCTATAGCGAAAAATAATTTTTCACTTCTTCTGTTGAAAAACATAAGCCTATGTGCAATACTGAGTCACACTTTGTATTTTTCCCTCACTATCGCCTGTACCGCACATGTAAGTGTTCTGAAATGGCACACCTAGTATTCTCTGTAGGCAAAGATTCACATGCTCAAAGATTTGGTTTTTAAAATTCCTTTGTTCATTATCTCCTTATAAAGCCAATTTTTACTGTTCTCTCCCTAAATCAAGTCTGTTTTTGCATGCTTCTGATATTAGTATCTGCCTGATATAAATCCACTGGTAGATCAATTCCTACTTCATTTTGTATTACAATGATCTTTTCTAATAACGAGAACAATGAATTAATGGGTTTCAGAGTAGCAGCCGTGCTAGTCTGTATTCGCAAAAAGAAAAGGAGGACTTGTGACACCTTAGAGACTAACAAATTTATTTGAGCATAAGCTTTCGTGAGCTACAGCTCACTTCATCGGATGCATACTGTGGAAAATACAGAAGATCTTTTTATACACACAAAACATGAAAAAATGGGTGTTTACCACTACAAAAGGTTTTCTCTCCCCTCACCCCACTCTCCTGCTGGTAATAGCTTATATAAAGTGATCACTCTCCTTACAATGTGTATGATATTCAAGTTGGGCCATTTCCAGCACAAATCCAGGTTTTCTCCTCACCCACCCCCCACACAAACCCACTCTCCTGTTGGTAATAGCTTATCTAAAGTGATCACTCTCCTTACAATGTGTATGATAATCAAGGTGGGCCATTTCCAGCACAAATCCAGGGTTTAACAAGAACGTCTGGGGGGGGAGGTGGGGGGGGTAGGAAAAAAACAAGGGGAAATCAACCACTCCCAGTCTCTATTCAAGCCTAAGTTAATTGTATCCAATTTGCAAATGAATTCCAATTCAGCAGTCTCTCGCTGGAGTCTGGTTTTGAAGTTTTTCTGTTGTAATATCGCAACTTTCATGTCTGTAATCGCGTGACCAGAGAGATTGAAGCATTCTCTGACTGGTTTATGAATGTTATAATTCTTGACATCTGATTTGTGTCCATTTATTCTTTTACGTAGAGACTGTTCAGTCTGACCAATGTACATGGCAGAGGGGCATTGCTGGCACATATCACATTGGTGGATGTGCAGGTGAACGAGCCTCTGATAGTGTGGCTGATGTGATTAGGCCCTATGATGGTGTCCCCTGAATAGATATGTGGACACAGTTGGCAACGGGCTTTGTTGCAAGGATAGGTTCCTGGGTTAGTAAGTTATTTACTTGTTCAGGAAAAGTTACTTACTCGTTCCAATAATATAAGAACTGGGGGCCACCAAATGAAATTAATGGGTAGCAGGTTTAAAACAAATAAAAGGAAGTTCTTCTTCACTCAGCACACAGTCAACCTGTGAAAC